TGGAATGCCAGTACAAAAGAAGGAATGCATGCTCGAAAGAGAATGGGATGCAAGACCATTGTATGATCGCGAATTCTGTTGAGGATGCGGTTAAGTGTGACAGAACGGGGTAGAGGACGAGAGGGAGTGATGGGTGTGAGTATATCCAAATTGGACTCGATTTGGTATAGATGGTGGACTCGCAAATCACGCCAAGCAGGTCGATACGGAGGGTGAGAGGGCATACTGGATATCATAGAAGACAACGGCAGGATGAGACAACTGGAAAGGTTGAGCACCACTCTGTCAGAGTTTCGGGGAAGAGTATCCATAGCCTTCAGAACCAGGTGCAGCGGGGAATCAAGGGTGCGATGGTTGCGAGGACGACAGTCCGGAAAGAGTAAGGGAAGAAGAGGATCAACGGTAGGGACGTCGGAGCGAAGAAGAGAGGAGAACCATTGGGGAACAAGACCATGAGGCAGTAGAGGATTACGGATAAGGGGCTTCAGCCAGCGAAGTTGGAGAGCACATTGCTGTATACCAGGATCCAAGATACCAAGGCCACCCTGTAGTCGGGGCAAGCAGAGAGTCTCAAAAGCAATGGGAGGAAAAGAGTTGGCACGGAAGAACCCGCGCACGATGGAGCGAACTCGGTCAAGGAAGGCGGAAGGGAACGAAACCACACGAAGGGCGTGCCATAGTTGAGAAAGTACAAGAGAGTTCATGATGGTTGCCCGCCCACGAAAGGAAAGAGATCGTGATCCATGAATACTGCAAAAGGTCTCAATTTTTGACAGGAGGGTGGTCCCGTAGGAGTCTCGTTGAGTGATAGAGGAAAATAATGGAAAACCAAGATATCGGAGAGAGGTAGGTGACGTACGATCATGCCAATCAGTAACATCGTATGCACGAAGGAAAGTATTCCAGTCGGGGAGTGGCGATCCTGAAAGGGAGAAGGCTTGAGTCTTGTGCATGTTTATGCGGGCGTTAGATGCGGCAGCGTATGTGTTGAGATGGTGGTGAAGTCGAGACATGTGATCCGTGTCCGGAAGAAACACCAGCAGGTCATCGGCATAAGCCAGCAGTTTGACAGGAGGTAAAGAGGGAAGAGTGGGAGGGACAGAAGGGAGGACACCTAGGAACAGAGGATCGTGTATCACGCGGCGAAGCAAAGGCTCAAAAGCTAGGTTGAAGAGAATTGGTGAGAGAGGATCCCCTTGTCGAAGGCCACGGGCTTGCGTAAGAGGGCGCGAGAGAAAGCCATTGACGTTAATCTGTAGCTGCGTAGAGAAAAATAGAGAAGAGACAGAATTAACGATGGAAGGAGGGAAGCGGAAATGAGCGAGCACTCGACGAAAATACTCTGGGTGTACTCGGTCATAAGCCTTTTCCTGGTCCAAGAGCAAGCCAATCCCTGAGGATCCATCCTTCGCGGCTTGTGCCATGACCAAACGAGTCAGCATTCCATTATCAGCTATAAATCTACCCTGAACAAAACCAGTTTGATACGGGGTGATAAGTGTGGTAACAGCAGAAATCGTACGAGCATTCATGAGACGGGTAAACACTTTTGCATCGGTATTAATCAAGGCGATGGGACGCCAGCTCTTCAGAGAACTGAGATCGCCTTTTTTTTGGCAACAAGCAGACACAAGTGGACTGCCAAGAAGGAGGAAAGATTCCCTTCGACAAGGCATCGTTATATATCCGGGAAACGAGGTCGCCACACACGGGATGGGCGAGAATGAGGCAGAGAATCTCATATGGCAAACCATCTGGGCCCGGGCTACTAGAGCTGGGAGAGCGGGCAGCACCTGACCGAATTGTGTCGAGAGCGAATGGCCGAGTCATATAGTCCTGTGCAAGTTCTGGCAAATGGAGATCTGAAGGCAAATGAGAGAGCAGCTCATCCACAGCAGAGTTGTCTATAGGATCAGGGGTGTACAAGCCTTCATAGAAGACTGCTGCGGCCTCAGTCATGGCGTCGGGTGTGGTGCAAATGTCGTTTGTAACAGGGTGACAGAGGCTTGCAATGGCTTTGCAGGATTGGCGAATGGCGATAGTGCGTTTGAGGTATCCTGCAGAAGTCTCACCCTTTTCCCGCCAGTGTTTCCCGGCCTTGAGAGCCATAATCTCGACCCGTTCAAGTTGGACTTGCTGCAACAATCGTTCCACAATTGGGAGTTGAAAGTTCTGGGCGGGTTGGTGGCGGAAACGGTAAATGAGTCGGTTCCGTCGTTTTTGTAGGCGTGTTTCCAGGTCGTTCAGAGAGGGGCGAAGGTGGCGAGAGAAACATTTAACGAAACGAATGACTTCGAGCTTAATCGCATCCCATTGGGCTTGAGGAGAAAAATCAGCGCGAAGGGCAGGAACGAGGGTGGAGAGAAGAGTGTTGAGATCGGTACGGAACGAAAGTGATTGTGCTAGGCGAGGGTTAGCACGCCAAAGTCCCTTACCAGAAGACTTGGTTGAAGGGAGGGACAGACTGACTGCAACCAGACAATGATCAGACCATTTCTGGTAAATATAGCTCACTTGTGGGTCTGTAGTGCGAGGGTGAAGGTCTGAGGACGCAAGGATGTAGTCAATGGTGGTGGAAGACAGGGCTCGGTGGAACGTAGGCTGCGGGTGCTGGCCGCGAGGAGTGATACAGTCAGTCATATTGGTATCTATAAACTGTAGCCAGTCAGCTGGAGCACGACGTCCGAGAGCATAGTGTGAGCGAATTGCATGGTTAAAATCGCCCAATAGAATAAAGTTTGAAGGATTGGGAGGGATGAGGTCAGGAGTGGACAGTAAAGAGGCAAGAAAACGATAACGTGGAGTTTGGGAAGCAGGCGCATAGATGACGCCTATCCTGAAGGGCGAAAAATTATTATCCACATGCGTGATAGTTGTCGTGATACACCTGCCACATGGGCTAAATAGAGGGTCAGTGAAGATAATGTGAAGGGAAAGGCATACAACACCGCAGTGTGGAGACCATAATGATGAAGAGGACCGAAATTGTTGGTCAAAGGTAGATTGAAGCATAGATGATGAGGCATGGGTTTCTTGCAGGGCTAAAATATCGATTCCCTGCGAGCGTAAATGGCGTATGAAAAAGGCGCGTGATTCAGGGTGTCCGACTTTGGGTAGACCCCTACAGTTCATAGTGCCTATTTTAATCATTGGTTAATGTTGGCCTTTGCGCCGAGGGCTTTTGTGGTTTGTGGGTGAGTAAAGCGAGGAGGAGAGAGAGATGTATTGCGGCCTGTTGGACGTGCCGGCCGGGAAAAACGGAGATGAGTGTGGCGAGAGGCAGACTGGAGTCGGAGAGTCCGAGCCTCATCTCTATCCATGAGATTAGTTATCATTCTGTCGTCTATCTCTTTGTCCCAGCCACGCGTGGGGGTGTCGACAGAACGGCTTCGAGGACGAGGGCCGGAGGACGTGGGCGTCTCAGTTGGTGTCGGTAGAGTAAAGGTGGTCTTTGTGGGAGACAGCTTAGACAACTCATGCAAAGCAGGTTGACGAGGGTTGTGCTTGGAGGCCTCCGATCCTCCGTAGATGAGTGAGAGCTCAGTGGGAATCAAAGGCTTGGGCGCAATGATGGGGCGATCGAGCTTCGAATTGCGGTTGGGGTGGCGGGAGCGCTTGTTGGACGTCTTGGATGTCTTGGAAGGATCGGTAATGTATGGACAATTGGCTTGTAAGTGACCGGTCTTGTTGCATCCAAAACACGTTCGGGTTTCGGCTGGGCGTTTGGTGCATTTTGCGACGTCGTGCCCCATTTCCTTACAGTAGGTGCAGTGGGAGCCCATGGAAGGCCACTTACCAAGAATCTTTTGCGTATCGTCGTATGCAATTTGGTACGTCAGAGAATCTGATGGCACATCGTCGGTAGGTGTATTGGCGAGGACAACATAGCCAGAACCGTCAAAAAACCCATATGATTCATGAATGGCGATCTCCCGCACTTTGCCAAAAGGAGACATACATTTGGCGAGTTGTGTAGCCAGGTCATGATAAGGAACACGAGGAAGCTTGGTTAGGAAAACACGGCGAACAATTGTGCCAATGGGAACAGCAGGTTGAGCGGGGAAAGACGAATCGCCGACTACCAAAGGTTGAGAGCACGCTCGCTCGCAGTCAGCACTGGTAGGTAGATGGAGTTCACATGTATCAGGGGAAGAGCGTGAGCCAAGAGTGATGCCCATGTTAACCTCGCGAGGATAGGCTGAGAGAAGAGCTCTCCAGAAAGGG